CTTTTATAGGGAGCTTAGCATTTTTTCCTTCACTGAAGTTTCCATACAAAAGTATGTTTAATGTTATCTGTCTGATGGAGGTCCTGCCTTGCGGCCACAGTCTCCGGAATGGGCTCCAGACGCCCTGCCACCCTGAATAGGACCAGAGATTACAGAAAATGGGTGGATGTTTGATAAACCTGGAGGTCCCTGGTGAGGAGCCTTTCAAAGGTACTAGCTAGGGCCCCTCCTGGGACTGGATCTAAGGACCTCCTGTTTACTCACCCATACATTAATGCTGTCTTTAGGATGGGATAAAAGGATGGGATATATTTAACATTCCATCCACCCATTTTCCAACCACTTATCCTGATCAGTGTGAATGGGTGGGGGGGGGCTCTGCCTTTTATGTTTGTGTAAGTACACTCTGATGTTCTCACAACGATAAAATCGCCCAGTGACGCATTTCTCAGAACGTATTCCCACTGTTAAGCAACGCATGGCAGTATTCGCATGATGCGTTGCGGTGTCGCTGTGCGTGTGAGGGTGCTTAGGTTCACCTCTCTCGATATAGCGGCGTCCCCGACAACCTTTACATTTCCCGCTCGTTTTATTTATTAGTAACCTTAGCAGACGGGCCCTCAGTTAGCTGTTTTTTTTTTCTCAATTAACACAACTCTATCAGCTGTGCAAGATTTAACACACCAATCAAATAAATACACAGCCACTGGTCTGTGAAACAAGTTAATTACGTTTCCATTTGTGCAGATTAATGGTTGCATACCTTTGGCTACACTCTAAATTAGGTAACAGGAAAAGAAGCCAACATATTTTGTCATACACATTACCATAAATAACATTTTTTTACAAGTGCAATATCTGGTATAAATTGCTATTCATTGCCATTATTGTTTTGCCAGACAAAGCAGGAGTGTCTACCTTTACATCATCTATTAATGCAACACATTTCAAAATAAATCTGTCTGAAGTAATTTAATAGGGAGTGAAAGGTTTAAATGACACATTTAGGAGCAATAACACCAACACTCATTAATCCCATTACGCATTTAGACTGTGCAGCTGGCACAGAACAGCCACGTGTACCACAGCACGATTAACAGATAATGTTCTTTAAGCAAAATGTGCTTAAATGGGAACATTTATAAGCGTTGATGTTTTAAAGACGATGGAAGCGAGGCCTGATGAGATTTGTGGCCCATTTGCAAAATGTACGCCTACCCACTGAGAAGACAGCGAGGATTACGGACTTCATGAGGTGATGATTCAAAGGGAATTTAGAATGGATCACATCAGTACCGAAGTAAGATAAAGGAAGACGGTAAGGAGACAGAATGAAAGTTAGCGATTGCGAAAGGAAAGACTGTGGATGATTAACAAAACATCTGATTTTAAAAAATAATACATCACTTGATCCAGTGATGACAGTCAACAAAGAAGCATTTCTACTTGACATGTGGGAACACCGAATACATTTTTGTCGATTATGTCTACTGCCTTTTTTGTTTTTAGAAATCTGATTGGTCATCTGTTCTGTTGGTCCAAGAAGCAGATTAACAGGGTGACAGGTGACCTCTGCTTGGGGATTGTCTACTACAAAGATACAGCTGCTGATTACCATCGTTCACTTAAGATTAAGCTGTCTAACTGTCAGCACTGCTCTGTGATACTGTCTTTGTAAGTGTTCGGTTGTATTGGAAAGAAAGCGGAATATGGATCTACTTTTCTTTGGCGAACAAACTTCAATTGATCATGAATATAAGCGATGTAGCACTGCTGTGTTTCTTGGGGAGCGATGGGTCAACGTTCATGTCATGTTACCTGGGAAAGTCTCTTCCTATAAGGGGAAGCCAACAGTCCAATTAGTAAAACGAATTGGAGTGCAGCTTTGAGTTAAAATTCAAGGTCAAAACCCACTTGTGGACAGGAGAAGAGGCAAGTGCGTGATTACCCTGACACGATCGGAGCCCAGTGCTCTGCAGACAAAGCTCCAGCATTTTCAATTCTTCAGCAGAATAATAAGTGTCTGTCAGCAGCCAGGTGCAGCCTCATTAAAAACCCTTGCAAGCCAACACACCACTACCAATACGCGCTTGCAGGAAACCCACCCAGTAACAGAAGAGACAGGCTAACACTATGAAACAGCTATGACCTATTATGCTACATCTTCTGTGCAATACGCCTCTATTCCATCTGGCAGCAACCACACATTCAGACACTAGTATGATGGGTGGATTTCGTATAATCAGTGTCTAAATGCTTCCTGTACCAGCTGGGACCAGCAGGTGCTGCCCACCTTGTCCCATCCTCCCATCTGCGTGCAAGCAAATTATCACCCATCAAACCAGCACCTGGAACTCATTCATGATTTCAGATAATGTATGAAATTTGGAAAACAGGCAGTCTCAAGGTTATGAACGAGTCCCATTCCCTAAGTTTGTCTTTAAGTCAAATGTGCAGTACATAATAACGATAATATTTATTCAAGAATAATAAAGGTAACTACATATGGTACTGTACTGTACTTCAAGCTGACGAACCGCTAAAGCCGCGTAATGCTTTTCAGAAGCGTCACAAAGTAGAGCGTGCTTTCATTATCACGAACCAGGCCAAGCTGCAGCTTATCATCTGCCCTACGGAGAAGGTGATTGGCTGCAATCCGCCATCCCTACAGGACCTACACACCTCCAGAACCCTGTAACGGGGCCTATCGGATTATGACCGATCCCTCCTATCCTGGACATGGACTGTTAAAAAACGACCCTCCTGCAAGGGACTCAGGTATATCGAGACCAGAACCACTTGCTACAAACACAGCTTCCATTCAGCGGTTGAGCTCATCAACAAGCCCCCTGACCCCCGCCTCTGTCACCCCCCCCCCCACTCACTCTGAATGCATCTTTGTACATCTTTTTCTTCTACCAGACATCATACTTTTATACTCCAATATTCAAATCACCTCGGTTCTCTTTAATGTCCTTATAATTATTGCTAGCATATTACACCGCTTGCGCTGCTCATTTTATTTCTAATTATCGATTTTTTGAATTTATGTTCTTTGTTCTTTTTCTCTGAATATAACCAACTCTTCCGGCCAAAACAAATTCCTGGTACATGCAGTAGTACCTGGCCAATAAAGTGAATTCTGATCTCAGCCATATTTTTAATATAATAGGCTTTATGGCAGTCTGTTCGTAAGCAGGAGTTGTCTGTAAGCCGGATGGTCGTGACCCAGGGACTGCCTGTACTCACCTTATCTTGGATGGGTGAAGTCTTTATATGGATCAGCTTCCAAAGAGCTTCATCCCAAATGATGCTGAACCTCAGTAGTTGTACTGAGTTTTTTAGCACACTAGGTATAGCAGGGAAAGCATTGCGGAAGGAAATTTCAGGAACTCCAAGAAGAAGTTCTATCATATGTTGACCTGAGGGAGGGAGGGGTTAGGAGCACACGCTGCCGCACCGACCACATGACAAATCACCTCAGGGATGAGAACCCAAGTGCAGCTGTGCAGTGGGTGATACCTCAGCACCACACAAGTCTGAATGGACCAATCCTGCACCCAACCCCCAAAATTTCCCTGTAAGTTGGAGCACCTCCTTGCAGGGCTGGATGTATATTAACATCATACCCAGGATGGAGCAATTTCAGGTTAAGGGCCTTGCTCAAGGGCCCAACAGAGTAGAACCACTCCTAGCATTCATGGGATTCAAGCCAACAATCTTCCGTCTTCAGTCACCGGCTTAGGTTTGTTTAAGGTAGCATTGAACAAAAACATGAAGAATTAGCGATGATTTCAGAGCATATGTTGTGACCTACGGGGGAGCACACTGGCATTGTTTCTTACAGTGTCACAGAACTATGAATGGTTTTGCAGGACCTGAAATGTGGCAAAGCAGCAGGATATGTGAGCATCAAGAAAAAAATTAATGAAACACCTGGGACAATAATCGCTTTCCTGGCTGAAGACCCTCCATGTACTGGTCTCAAACGCCCACAGCAAACCTGGAGAAGACTCCAAATCCCTGCAAGGTACCACGTAGGTTCCCTCCTGTCAATCCCCTAGATGCTGAAGGCACCCTCAAAGTGGATCATCCTGGTTTCCTTAGGCGACGCGACACAACAAAACTAATGCCAACTCTCACCACCTACTTCCAAGAGGCCTGAAGACAGGCTGTGTGTCCCTCGACCTCACTGCAGCCCACAACACAGCCCTGCGCTCTCTCCCTGTACTGAGATCCTCATTCTTGGGCATCAGAAATAATCTAAATGCTATTGTGCAACACATCCAGCATGGACCTCATACAGGAAGCATGTTCACGGAAAGTACAAACTAATGGACTTGCCCAAGGATCGGTGCTGGGGGCGGCCCTCTTTAATCTGTACATAAATGGCCCCCTCTCGCATCTGCCTTATTATGCGATTTCTACCCATGGCAAATGGAGCAGTCAAATGTATCTTTTTTACGCAGTTTTGTACCTTTAAAATGAGTGCAACATCAACGTCCCTCTTGAGACTTAATCACTTCTCTACAGCGGTAACCTTTACAAAGCAGCACAGCATAATCTCCAATGAAATGGTAATAAACTGTTAAAAGGAGGCGCAAGATTCCATAACCGTGTCCAGTGCTAAACTCCCTTAAAAATAATCATCCCAGCAGCAATCTAACAAATACATTTGTGCGGTTTATTCTGGACAAGCTCTAGTAACATTTCGAACCTGTAAAACATCCACTTTGTTGCAGTTCCAGGTTATACATCACCCAGAACAAAAGTTAACACATTTACACACGTACTTGCAGCGTGACCTTGCACACATAGAGTGCTAGGTCACTTATGTAGACTATGACAAATAATAACCACCGATGTAATTATTCATCTATGCATGTGTTTTGCCAAACATCTGGTAGGAAAATTATAAGTCTTTAATGGATAACACCCAAGCTTTTTTGAGTGCGGAGCTCGCTTTAATATTAAAGAACATGGTTTGTTTTAAGTCATAACACTTTAAATGTTGTCATATTTTAATTAAAGCCATTTTTTCCACAAAACAAGTTATGAAACAAAACAAAGCCACCTGTTTGTATTATCCTGTACACCGTGTATAGTAATTTGAAGGCTGAGTAAAATATGGTCAAAAGATAAGATAGAAAAGGATATTAAGGATTTTATCTGGTTCTTACTCCTAGAGAAAAAGAGAAATACAAAAATCTTCCAATCATATTCATTGTACGGATATTTCAAACATTTTTCGATGGTTAAAGAAACATACCTTATTACACATATCTAGGTTCAGCCTTCTGCATACCTTTTTGGAAGATTTTTAGAATCCACTGTATTGGAATGATGTTAGTCTGTATTGCAGTTAAAAATACAATAAAGATGGAAGAGGAAATGTCTTATAATTGAGCACATAATTCAATATTTAAAAAATGAGTTGTTAAAAGATGTTAAAATATGGTTTGTTGATAAAACTGTATCCAAAACTATGCTTATTGTATGTCTTGTTTATTACATATACAGCTACGTATTTCATTTTAAAATTCAGTTTTACAGTATTTATCCTGACTGCATCTCTCTGGAGTCATTAAATTTAACATAAAAATGATTAACTTATCTTTTATGCCAATGCTCAGTAACAGTATCTAAAAATCTGAAATATGTGATGTCAAATTAAACTGTAATTATACATTGGGCTCAAATATAGTTGTTTTCCTCAATGCTAAAGCAACATAAAATATAACAATGAACTGTCCACATGCCATCGTCCGGCAAAAGAAACGAAAGTATTTATGACAGCATTTAAACTGATTATTCTAGAGTAACAGCTGAAACTTAAGAGGCTTTTTTTTTTGTATGAAGAGATACTGTTTTATGCCGTGGTCTATATTTTGTGGCTGACAATCACCTTTAAAAAAAAAAAACAGTATGGCCAGTTCAGCTGATACGATCTTTCGCTAAAGTAAAACAAGACTGGTAATGGATCCAGACATTGTCTATAAAGCGGAATCATTTCGTCTGAAACTAAATAGGCAATTAATAGGAAGAATGGGCACTTTCAATAAATGCTTACAAATTACAGTCATCAGCTGTCATCCATCAGCTTGGTACAGACATACATATTATATATATTGATCCCATTCCTAATTTGGTCACCTTGTGATACCTTTCAGTCTCAGTTGCAATCAAAAAGTGCTTTGAACATTTAATTTTTAAAAGGGACAGTTCTGGAAATGCCAGTATATCGACTCCAACAAAGAGCATGTGAGCCGCTGAGCTCCTCAGGGCCAGCTGAATGTCCTCCCGGTGATCTGGTAAAACTTCTGATTGAACGGGTGGAAGAACCTTTGCAGCTTGGCCACCACGGAGGGGTCGACGTCGGGGTGGATGCGTCCCTTGCTTCCTGCCAGGCACTTGCTGAAGACGACGTTGAATCGCAGGCAGTAGAAGCCCCTGGTGGCGTTGAAGTACAGGTTGTACTGACTGATGCGGGACGGGAGGTCCAGGAACTGCTCCACCAGCTGCAGCTCTGGCAGAGGGTCCACTATGAGGCGGTCCCCGTCCACGATGTGGAACTGCTCCACAGGGAAGTACTTGAGCCATCTCTCCAGGTGTTTGGTGTATATGCTGGTCCGCACAGCCTTGTACTTGGTGTTCACCTCGCAGGTGTTTGCATCGATGGCCAACTTCTCGAACTTGTGGTAGGTTTTGTTCTTCCTTTCCTTGCCTTCCAGCACCTGGGTGTAGTCGGAGATGGCGCGGGTGGTGGGCTCCCGCACGATCACCAGCAGCTTGATGGAGGAGTTCATCTTGAAGATGCGCTCTGGCACCTCCTCGGTGATGAAGTAGGCGGGACTCTTCTCGATGGTTATCTGCTGGGGGAAGGAGAAGGGCATCTTCTGGCGGTACCAGTCAACCCCGCGCGCATAGTTCCGGTCGTTGTCGAAGAAGTGGATCTCCTGGGAGGCCTTGACCACGGCCGGGTGCAGGTTGAGCATCTCCAGCAGGGCGCGTGTGCCCCCCTTGCGGACGCCGATGATGATGGCGTGGGGAAGCTGCTGCACCAGCTGCTGCAGTCCCACCTGCTCTTGCGTGCCGTTGACTCTGTGCAGCTCGTGGGCCGAGCCGCGCTTGTACTGCAGCGTCCGTAGCAGGATCTGCCCCAGGGGACGTGGTGCCAGTCTGCTTTCCACAGAGCAGATAGGCTGCAGCCTGGGGGATTGGGGCAAACGGGGGGAGAGGGGGGGAGGGGCATATGCTCAGAATGACTGGAATATTGGCATAAATGGCACAGCACCTTGCAATATTTTTGTGTAAAAGACCTGTATATCTGATCAACTGTGCCATGTTGCCCACAAATACTTATTTCTAACAAATGATACCTGTGTCATAAAAAGTGAAACTAACAAAACAAGAAATCATGAGGGCTCGCAGCCAAGGCTTTGCAGCTGTTCAGTATAATGCATTTTTTAATGCATTTTTTAATGCATTTATTAATGCGTTTATTAATACATTTATTAATGCAATTTATTAATACATTTATTAATGCATTTATTAATACATTTATTAATGCATTTATTAATGCATTTATTGCATCTCACTAGTCAAATATTTTTTTGATACTTTTCCCTCAGCACGGGATACAGACCTGTCCAAGCTACCAACTCTGGCCACGAGGTAGAGGAGACTCCCGATGGCGAGGCTTCCCAACACGAGGAGCTTCTGTCTGAGCAGCGCCTGCTGTGCGGGTAGCATGACCCTCCATCAATCGTCAGGCCGGTGTCCTCAGCCTGGGGGAGAGCAGAGCACATACACCATGACTCACCGGCAGGCCAGAGACAGCCTAATGCTTATTAACACACACTCCATCACGCCAGCAGCAGTAATTAAGTCGCAAGATGCACAGCGCTGTGATGACATCAGGGGGCGCGGCTCCCGTTTTTTATATATTTATTTCAATTGCCCAAAAGCTTTGAGGACTGCAGTCTTTATGGGCCTGCTGGTGTGGCACTACAGTCAATATGAGTGAGCAGAAACACACGCCCTACTTCGGAATTACTCTGGGAAGTGCACTTAAGGCAGACTGATTTTCACGCGCGGAATAATGAGTGTGAGATGGTGTAATGCAATGGCAATTACTGACGACCCAATGCGGAAGTTTTGCAGGCACGTAGCGATCCGTCACTTCAAAGCAAAGGCGTCATCAAACGCAATAATCCTGTTTCTTCCACAGTGGGTACTAATACCCAGCGGGGAGATGTGTATGTCCTCAGAAAAAGAAGTCATGTTTCCAAAAATAATGTGTCTGAAGGAGCTGCCTATTGAAAAAAAATGGATCAAAGGGTACACTGTTCGGTTTGGTTTCTGATCTCTGATTGTGTTATTGCAAGTTTTTTGGAAATGAAACAGGATTTTATTACTTGCCCCTATATTTAGACAGCTGCAAATGAAGCTGTATATGACAATTTGAAAATAATCCACACCATTATAAATATGAATGAGGTAAATATTATGTTTAATTCAAGAGATTATTAAACTACTTTGAAGTTACTGAACATTTTCAATAAAATGACAACGGCTCGATTAACCAAATAAGAAATTTGCTTAAGGGGATACGCTTTTAAAGAGTTTCTTTTTTCAAGAGTCAGTGAGTATCAGAAAGGCACTGTATTATAATAATAATAATAATAGTAGCTCAGTACCATGGAGGCATGACGCTGGGCACGCGGCTTATAAACAACGACAGCATGGGTGTCACAGGAGCCCAGAAATGTGGAACATAATTGGATTGGTCTGGGTTTGGGGCCCAATATGATGTGCTTTCATGGGGCCCAAAATCTCTAGTGGCGCCTCTGCAGAGAATCAACTATCGACGAACTTTGGATTCGACTTTCACTAGAGTTTACACTTGGTGTTATGAAAGCAAGCCATCTTGTTTTCCGTAATGTCAGCATGCCGGTGGGGGGGGGGGGGGGGGGGGGGGGGGGGGGTTGTATTTTGACTTGCACTGTCTTGTCTTTTACTACACTGCTGCTTTGCTCTTTATTTGCACTATTGCTGATCCTATTGTCCCCCATGAACATCTCCTCTACCTCTACCACAATAATCTTACTGGGTATTTATCGATACCAGGAACGCAACTTGCCTCCCAGGAACGAATCTGGGATGCAATGAATCATGGAATTGTTCTCGGGGAAAACAACATCCGGGGATTTATACTGTTCTCTGTATATCTGTTCTTGAGTATGGAAGATGATGTATAATAGATACGTGAGAACACAAGAATGGTCAAGTACGCACACTGATAAACAACAACTATGTTTCTCGCAATACAAGGGACGACCAAACATGAAATAAAGGTCTTATTTGTAAACGACTCTAGTGCACCATGTATCTGGCCAGAAGGGGGCAGTGTGTTACTGCTCCGTGTAGCAGCGCAGCGTCTGAATGAAATGGGAAGTATTGTTATTACGCTGCTTTGTATTTTCATTTTTCCTGGGGGGGCGTCAAACACTGATTTGTTCAATTCCTCGCTGAGGTGGAATTGCCACTGCTCTTCGTCGCGGTTATAAACCAGTCAAACATATTGGCTGGGGAGGAGACAGGCGGGAAGCGGAACGCGTCTTATAACGAAAGCCCTGACAAATAGTACCACAGATCGGCGTGACTCCCCCGCCTTTACTCCCCTCCGATTCATCGTGACCCTGCCCGGTGCTGCACTGTTACCATAATCCGCCGAAGGCGAAAAACAAAATGAAGTATCGTTGCACACGTGTGGGCGGCAGAGAGCCGGGCTGTGTGTCCGAGCTTAAGCGCCTGGCCGGCCGCTGCACTAGCGGCAATAATCGGCTACAGCAACGCAGCCGTCCTTCGCTCCCTCAGATAAATCGTCCTGAAACGCCGGCAGATGGCTACCGTCGTGGCCGGTGCAGCGTGTTCCTGGCTAATCCGACGTCGAATATAATGGGGGTGCAGACCACCGGCTCCAGCGGTTCCTGAAGAAATCCGCCAAACTGCGGCGCTGCGCAGGCAGCGAGCATGCGGCCGGAACCCCGGCTTTAACGCCACTTTTAGGTCAAACCTGTGCAGGATCTTTGAGAGGCTCCAAAAAGACTGCCAAGTGTTTAGGATTATTACATTTTGCAGATGGATTGACATCGACAACTAGGAAACGCAGTAATCCAGTACATTCCTTTTTAAAATTATATATATTCAGTGCGTTTTCTTTTCCAAATTATGTTTTTTACTGTGGTAATGTTAAGCACAAAATGGAGGTAACATCACCACTTGGTAATTTTAAGTCGGCTTATCGCTGTGAAACAATTACATGGTTTGCCCTTTGGGAACAGACGCTGCTTGGGCAGTAATGCGGCGAGCAGGCGTCTCCGTTTCTTTAGTTTTAATAACACGAGTTACTGCGCAAACAGCTCTTCTGAGAAGCAGCCGCTGAGAAATGCACCTTATTCAAAATCAGCATACAGTCTGCGGAGGGTCCTGTGCTGCATAAGCAGATAGTGCTTATAAACACTACGCAAAATATTTTAAAAGTATTTAAACGTTTATCAATGTTCTGAGGATTAAACAAGAATCTTTAATAAAAATCCCTTTTATAGGATTAATGCAAAATTTCTCTACTGTGCGTGACATGGACACTATCCAGTGAGCTGAGATGAAGACTGGACTCCGGTACTGTGTCTCTTCGGAGAATCCTTGGGTACGGCTGGTTTGACTTTGTGTCGAATGAGCGTTGATAGAGGAGTCCCGAATGAGGCACATTACCTGCATTGTGAGGGAGCGTCAGTTACGGCGCTACGGCCATGTGATGCGTTTCCCTGAGGGTGATCCGGCTCACAGGATCCTCATTGCTGACGCCCAACCTGACCTGACCTGACCTGCAGTATTTCATGTTGTTAACCAAACCTCTGGCCGTATTTTCTGTGGGAGTTGAAATGTATAGGAAGTTAGGAATTGGACATATTGGAGTACAGACAGGTGTCCTTATGTATAGAAATATGCTTGCATTCACTAACGTCACCTGTGCCAGTGGTCACAGGAAACCGCTCCATTCTTTAACATTCTAGTTTTTTCCATAGTTTCATGAGTTGACATCACCTGCTTATATACATCATGGTCTAAAAAAAAGAGGAAAACGCCAGAATACAGTCTTATTCTTAGACCTTTCCGTTTGGCTCGAACAAACGCATGTCATCTGCTGAACCCCTGAATGCGGACGCTCCTGAAAGCAGGGGAATGACACTGCTTTTCATTTTCATCAAAAAGCTGAGTCTACACAGCACCTAAACGGAATAAAAACCACATTCAGGCGACAGTATACACCGTAGACACCTTCAGAGTGTCTACATTAGGTTTCATTTGCCTGTTGGTTTTTGTTGACTCCTCATGTGCAAATTAAGATAAACACAAAAACTGCAGTGCACACACCCATTCCCGTGAAAGTTAGCGGACACATTCTTTTGTGCTCTTACCCCAGGTAACAGACTCACTAATGAAAGTCAGAATTCTCTATTGGCTTTTCCTGTTTCACATCTAATTTAAATATGTCTGCTTTCCAGTGGAAGGGTTACTGTCATACCCTGTCTTTCGTTCGACGGCTGACAGATGAGAAACTGAATGATCTGTGATTGTTGTATCATACCAGCAGACCCTAGCGCAAGAGCATGCAGGGTCGATCTCTATTTATCAAGCTTATCCGGAGGGTACTAATGAAAGGGCCATCTCTCACCAACCATAGCGCTGTTGTTCTCAATTAGCTATTTGGTGGTGATAGAACAAATGCAGATTGACTAATCTTAATGTGACATCAATAAAGTATCAGTATGTACAGCCCAGCAGAGTTTGATGCATGCCTTTTCCACTGCGCTGCAGATTTGCATCCATCCAGAATAATAGGGGCTGCAATGCTGCAGGAAACTGGTACCCGAAGGTGTCGAAGCACTGCTTCGATAAGAAATGCATCGGTCGTGTTCTTCTGCTCCACGATGATGCATGTAAGCACAGGAGTAAACTGTGTGGACATGCTGCTGCTGCCGTCCTGTACCTGGCGTGTGTGCTTCCCTCTACAGTGAAGCGGAATAAAATGCGTACAGTAATCAAGAATCAAGGGCAGGTTGTGTGCAACTTATTAACCTGGTGCTAGACAAATTCATGGTGGCCCACACTGCGATCTCTGTGAAAATAGATGATGCACTGGGGTCTCTGGGGAAAAGTCATCAAGCCCCTGAGCATAGACTGTTAGCTTAGCATGACCCCCCCCCCCCCCCCCCACACACACACACACACACACACACGCACACGATCCGTCAGAGCCAGATCGCAGACAGGCTGCTTTCTGTGGCGTCCCTTAGAGGACACAGTCACATCTGTGTGCTTCAGACAGTAACAGCGACATGGGCGACCCGTCATCTGTCATCATCTGACATCGGAGCCCAGGAAAATCTATAGTCTGTGAGGAAATCGGTGCTGCTGGATGCATCTGTACCTCCACTTATGTTCAAAGCCCACAACCCTCAAAGCACTGCTTCAATGAAAAATGCTGACTGTCCGTTCATTTATCTTAGCAGAGTCCGGACACTAAATCTGGCAAAGCCTCCACTAGGGTTCCCTCTCAAGTTCATTATAAACTTGTTTGATCATCTGCAGTATTGAACTTTGCTTTTTTTCCTGTAAAAACTAAACCACATGTTTGCATTCAGTCTTGAGAAGCAGGATAACTCCGGTGGGATCAATACTCAGTCACAACAGTGAAGAGGGAGGTCATGATGCATCAGTG